AAACAAAAAACACCTCTGCCCCCACCCCCACCTGACCTTCAGGGTTTCTGATTCCTAGAGAACAAAGTCAGACCTGCATGCCCCTAGGGGTGGGGCTGGGGCTGGGGCTGGGGTCATCACCTTTGGAGGGAGAGGGCCTGGGTGGGGGGGTGTTCTGCCGCCCTCTGCTGGCCATGTGAATCCCTGGCTGGGGGATCACCCTGGGCTTGGAGAATTGGGAGGGATATTTTTGGTCCGAGATTGGGGTGAAAGGGGGCAAAAATGAGCTTTATTTGCAGGAACATGGCACAGAGCTGAGCCCCAACCCTTGCGATCCCTCAAGACCTAAACTGAACCCATTCCACAAGCAAACACTGTCTCTGCTTGGGGACCAGGCTTGGGTAAGGGATGGTGGATGGAAGACAGTGATTCAAGTGACCCCAGGAGTTGAAGGGGAAGCGGGAGAGGTGCCACTCCATGGGTCTCCCTGGTGGCCACACCAGGAGAAGGCTCTATTTGTTTCACCCTGGCCTGAAGGACCCAGAGCTTTGTCTGGGTTCTTAGTTTTGTACCTGTTATGGGAACTTTGCCTTGGTTACTTAGATCCTAAGCATTCATTCAGAGGCAAGGAGGTCCCTCCACCTTCTTATAAAAGGTCTTGTGATGACCAAACTATTGAGGAGGAGAAGGAAACAGTCTGAATCAAGGAGGACCGCCTTGGCACCTAGAAGACCTCTTCTCCCCCAGCCCTCCGTCTCCTCCTGTCGTCTTTCCTCTTCTGGGTCCTGCAGCCCTCCAGCCAGTTCTGTTCCCTTCAGCCTTTCACTGAGGAAGTGAAGGGTCAGGAAGGCTAGGTTTGGGGGCTAGGTCTGTTTGATGGAGTACTGGACAGCAGTCTTCCAGAAATGTTTATGTCTCTAGCGAGCAGGTCCCTAAACCCGTCGTTGCAACACTGTGGCTCACCGCTGGAGTAAGACCTGGTAGAGGGGGCCCAGGAGGGCTGCCCGGCTCCTGCATTCAAGAACCGGTCACTCACAGCTCTGGGGTGTGGGAGTGGTCACAAATCTTTATCCTACGTGGGTCAACCCCAGCCCCATCTTTTCCTACTCCTTCTCTCTCCCTTGGAACCCAACATAGGGCCTAACTCCTGGTAGGTGGAAGGGTGGTTCTGGGCAGAAGCTTTCTTGAGCAGGACAGAGAGACGTCATCCTTCTCCTCTTTCAGGAGGCTAATGGCCCAGCCCTCCTTGTGTCGCTCACCGTTTGTTCATTTGGGGACCCAGAAAACTCAACATAATCTTCCCAACTCCGTCCCTCTGGGTCTTCCCAGTGGGGCCTGCCAGGCGGAGGGCCTCCCTAACGACAGCTGAAAAACCCCTCAGAACCTCTGTCACCCACTTTCCTCCTGGGACAACACCCACCCCACTCAGCAGACCACTTGCTCCCAGCCTTCCCCCAGTGAGGAACCCACTCCACCAGTGGGAACCGGAGCCAGGGGCAAGCCTCCAGCGAAGGTTCTGTCTCCCTGCTTCCTCCCCAGAGCACTGGCCATCTTCAGAGTCACCCATCTCCCCATCTAACCTTCAGATGACTGCAGACTCTGATTTCAAAAGAACACAGAGGGCTTTCAGCCCAAAATGCCTCTACCTGGCTCACACGATGTTTGAGCTGACAGACCCTACACCCAGCCTCACATCTCTCCTCCACCACTCACTAGCTGGGGTGACCTTCTGCAAGTGACTTAACCTCTCTGAGTTTCATTTCCTCATCTCTACAACAGAGATCCTAATAGTACTTTCTCATACAGTCCTCGTGAGCATCAAAAGAGTCAATGTCTGGGAAATGCTCGAAAAGGGCTCCACCGGTCATTGGTGCTCAAGAGAGGGCATCCTTCCATCACCATCATCTTTGCAAATTAGCAAGCCTTGTCAAGGAGCGAGCAGAGCTATGACTGACCAATCCATGCCCTTGAGCTGCAGAATGAGGCTCGCAGAGCCTGCTGCCACGCACATAGGCTGGCGAGGGCATCTCCAACCCAGCGCCCAGAGCTATGCCAGTCTCACGGGGCCGCAGACGAACACGGTATTCCAGGAAGAGGCAGTCTTGCGGCAAGATAAGACTAATTCACAAAGCAATTAGTAAAAAATACAAGATAGCTTAAAAGTACTAAATTGTTCGGTGCAGACTATAATTGTCTTAATAAGAAGAACCATTTGTGTAGCATTTTAGCATTTACCTAGCACTTGGAAATACATTATCTCATGTAATCCTCAAAACAAACCAGCCGGGTAAGGACTGGAATTAGCCCACAAGGAACCAGAGGCTCACAAAGGTGAAAAGGCTTGTAATCGTGCGGCCAGTAAGTGGTGGACTTGGGAAGGACCACTTTGGCTTGTTCTAACTTCACTGGTTCCCGTGGGATGCGTGTGTGTGTGTGTATGGGTGTGTGTGCATGTGTGTGTAATTGTGTGTTGGGATAGCCAGGCTGAATGTTTATGGAGTGGGTGCTTCTTTGGATTTTCCGTTCAGAGTTGCCCTGCTCCTCCATTGGCCCCCAAGATCTCCGGTGGCCAGGATATCCTGCGGTTCATGTTTTGCCTCTGTTAGCACTGTGTTCAGTGGCATTATTCTGGGTCCCTTCTTCCAAGTGTGGTGACCTCTCAGAGTTGGAGGTCTCTGAGCCATCCAGAGGGCAGGGATTTTGGGGGCCCTATGACCCCAGCACGGCCCCAAGGCCCTCAAAAATACAGGAGCCAAAGGTATGGAGCTAGTAGCTCAGGCCAGCCCACACTGCGCCTGGGAGCCGGAGCCAGTACCCATTAGACAGACCCACCAAGCAGGGCTGCAGCAGGCCCCCAGGGCCTCTCAGAGATGCAAAGCCATGCTCCCAAATCCATGTGAAAGGGAGAGTGGAGGAGGACCCAGAAGCAGGACCACAGCCTGGGGAAGGATGGGAAGCGGCGGACCCCAGACCAGCTGCAGATGACACAGTCATGGAAACTATCCATTGAAACACAGTACCTGGGTTCAAGTCCCAGTCTTTCTGCCCCCTAGCGGTGCCACCTCAGCCAAGTACTCACCTTGGAGTGCCTCGGTTTCTTCATCGGCAAAATGCGGATAATAACCATACCTCTGTCACCGGGGACGAGTTTCAATCAGCCACTTTGTAAAACATTGCCTGGCACAGAGTAGGTTTGATCAGGCCCATGTGATGACTTCCCGGAACTTTTGCTTCCTTGGCCTTCTTCCTCCATCACAAATGTTAAAAATTCTCCTGTACAAGTATGCTGGTATAAAGCTGGATTGTAGTCATTGTTTTTTATTTTAAAAGAAGCGGAAACATTTTTATAGGCCTCTAAATGTATTGTGACTCCTGAGCATCAGACTTATCGTGCCTAGTGGATAAAAGGGGCCCTAGGGCTCCATCCTGTTTGCTAATGTAGATATTACAGTGTCTCTGAAACTGCCTGGTGCTTTGGCCTGTAAGGGCCATTGTCATTCCTTTAGGAATGCTCTGTCCATCCTCCTGCTTTTTTACAGGAGGATGGCCCTTCACTCTTTTTACTGAATGCCATGCTTCAATGACAAATTTCCCAGTAGGAGGGTGTCTTCCGGCCTCTGCCTTCTCTCTCTCCCCGGGCATCACAGAGCTGTGGGGAGGCATGTTCTGCTGTGGGAATGACAGGCAGGATCAACGTGGGTGACAGGCTCCTTTAGACCTCAGGGTTCAGGAAGAGGCCTCTGGAGGCAGGATGCCTTCTCCAGGCAGCCCTCAGAGTGGTAGCAACAGCGTCCTCTAGTGGCCCCCAAACTCCCTCCATGCTGTGCCTGTCTCACCTCTCACCGGTGTTCCAAAGGTGTCCCTTGCGTCCCCCATTGAGAGCATAAGGATTTTTTAAAAAGATTTTATTTATTTATTTGACACACAGAGAGAGATCACAAGTAGGCAGAGAGGCAGGCAGAGAGAGGGGGAAGCAGGCTCCCCGCCGAGCAGAGAGCCCAACGTGGGACTCGATCCCGGGACTCCAGGATCATGACCCAAGCCTAACCAACTGAGCCACCCAGGCACCCATTATTCAGGGAATTTGTAAGAACATTATTCAGGGTGGCTCGGTGGGTTAAGCCTCTGCCTTCTGCTCAGGTCATGATCTCAGGGTCCTGGGATGGAGTCTGGCGTCGGGCTCTCTGCTCAGCAGGGAGCCTGCTCCCACCCTCCTTCTGCCTGCTTCTCTGACTACTTGTGATCTCTGTCAAATAAATAAAATCTTAAAAAATAAAAAAAAGAACTGCAGGTGTCCACCCCATTCCCAGAGATTTGCATGTGAAGGTGGCCTAAAGTGTGCATTTTTGAGACCCAAGGACCATACTTTGAGAACCATCACACAGTTTTTGGGCAGATGGACAATCACAGGGATGCCGCACCCCCAGTTCCTGCTGGTTACAGAATGTGCCTGGCACCAAGCTCAGTTAGGACTATTACAGATGGTCCACAAGACAAGCCACTAGAGTATGCGGAGGTTCTTAAAAACCTATCAATGTAGGTTTTTATCATTAATTAGTCCTTTATTCCTATTCTTATTTTAGCGTATGGTTTGTGTGGCTTATATATACTTTAGTATACATATGTTGGGAGAACAAATTTTTAAAATGTTTTGATCAATAGGGGCCAACCCAAAATGTTTCAGCCCATTGTGTTAAACAGGGGTTCTTGTCTTCAAGAAGCTTCAAGGTGAGGAGGTAATGTCTAATGTGGAAAACCATAAAACAGGGTAGAAGGGAATAAACGCCTTAGATAAGCTACTGTTGATGATTTTGCCAGAATCAGGAGCCCTTATGTCCATCCAGGCTGATGAGGGACAACTCCACAGTCGGTCAACAATTTGCAGGAACCACAACTCATCAAAGGACTGTCCCAGAGGCAGGATGGAAGGCACGGAGAGGGGAGAGGGGGAGTCATAGTCTCAGAGGAATGGACAGTATGACTTCTCTGGGGCAGCGTAGTTATGGAGGTACCCACGGAAATGGAGGCACTTCGACTTTATTTAGTGGTGCCATGACATCCACCCTGGGTTCACAGAACAGGGGACCCTGATACAAGAGCAACAGAGCAACTTGACTCAAATCAAATCCAGCCCGGCTATTCCGGAGCACTCAGGAATGAGCCCTTTGCTGCCAGCTCAGGCCCTCAATGGTGTTCCGAAGCATTAGCGTCCAGTCGTCACCCTTCCGCATCGGGGTGCAGCGCGTCTCCTTGAACTCCAGGGCCAGGATCTCCGCGGGGGTCTCTGGGGTCAGCCCGGCAGCCAGGACAGCTTCTGGGAACTTGGCTGCAGAGGCGGGGGCCAGACAGCACCGGGGAAGGCTGTGCGGTGGGGCAGGTGGGAACAGGAGGGCAGGCCAGAGACCAGACAGAGAGATGTGGAAAGGAGGAGGCGAGGAGGGGAGAGGAGAAGGAACAGGGGACGTAGGGATAGGGTGGTGCACAGAGAAGAAAGGAAGAGAGAGAAAGAGGCAGATGTTGGGTACTTTGAACTCATCTCTGCAAACAATGCCAGGGAAACTGCTCCTTTTTGTGGGAGACCCAGCTCAACCACCACCTCTCCGTGGCTGCCCCCCAGAGGGCTGTCACACACCCTCCTCTGGGACCACAGTTCTCAGGGAATAGCTCCTGCTCGTGAAAGCCATTTGTGCAGATTCCTGCCTCCCCTGCTTGGGGAAGAGGAGGGCCCCCCGAAAGCCAGAGTATCTCGGTGACCCAGGCACCCACGGCCCGTACCTGGGCTGCTGCCGGTCGGTCTGCTGGTAATGGTAACTCACGGCCACAGCCGAGTGAGGGCACAGCAGGTACTGGTTCTCTTCCCAACATCGACTCATGGTCCGGGTGATGGCCTCATCCGACACTGACTCAGACGTCATGGCCTCTGAAAGCTGACAGGTCCCAGGGTCAGAGGGGTGGGAATCAGGGTCCAGGAGGTACCCAGGAAAGCGAGCCGAAACGCAATACATAACATAGGCAGCCAACACCAGACACTCAGAAAGAATCTCCAGACTAAGTTGCTCAACTTCAGCTCAGAGAAAAATCTGGTTCCCGTGTTTCCCAGTTTTAAGTTGCTTCCCTCAGCTTGGGGGAAGAATCCTTTGAGTTTCAGGTCCATAAATTTAGTTCAGATTAGCTCATGAATTAGCAAGTTTGTATATAGTCTTGTTCAACAAACGGACAAAACACAGAAGGTTAAGGGCATTCAAACATTCCTGGTGCCCTGTCGTTGGTACAAACCCTTCCAGTGGGTGCAATGAGCGCCCACCCAGTGGAGCTCACCCAGTGAGCTCCCACCCAGCCCAGGTCACACCTCCTCCAGGAAGCCTCCCTGTAACCAGCAGATAAAGGAAGACTCCCTTCCCACTGCCCCTTCAGTGGGGAGGGCTGATCGGATCGTTCTCTGAAAATTTATTGTGTGCTATCAGTGTGCCCATCACCCCGCCTATATATGCGTACAGCAGAGACCACAAGTGCCATAAATCCTTTGTACAGCTACCTGTCCCATTAGGGTTTACGGTGGAGAGAGAATGTGTTTTCTTTATCTTTGTTTATCTCTAGCACGTAGCACGGTTCCTGGTTACAGGAGACATGTTGAATGAAGGAAGGAAGGAAGGAAGGAACGAGTGAGTGACAGCTGTTCTAGCAGATGGACAGTCTTGTAAAGCCAGGGAGAGAACGAAGCAGGGTGGGATCTGGTGACTATGCTCCTGGAGCACCTCATTTACATGAGGAGAAAGAACCATTAACCGAGTAAGCTGATCTTTGTGTTATGGTCTGAATCTTTGTGTCCCCCCATCCCGCCCAAATTCATATGTGAAAAACTGAATCCCAGTGTGATGGTATCAGAAGGTGGGACTTTGGGGAGGTCATTGGTGGGGGGGGTGCCCTCGTGAATGGACTTAGTGTCTTTATAAGAAGAGGCTGGAGAGCTAGCTGCATGCCTTTCCACCATGTGAGGCTAGGACAACACACTGACTGTCCACCGTTTCCATGGTAATTGCTCCTACCAGAACCCAACCATGCTGGCACCCTGATCTCAGACTTCTGGCATCCGGAACTGTGAGCGATAGATGTCTATTGGTTATAGCCAACTCAGTCTCTCCTTTGTTAAAGCAGCACCAATGAAGACAGGGTGTGTGTCACAGGAAACATCCAAATTCCACTCCGGTGTGCATGGCTGGCTAAACCCAGAGAACTATATCCAGTTCTAGAAACAACCTTTAAGACAGTCATTGGCTAGGTGAAATTAGGTCACATAAGGGACAGCTAAAGGAACAGGGAAGACTCAGCGGAGAAATGGAAATTCTCTTCAAATATGGGAATCACACGGCTTCCCCCGTGCAGAGTTCAGTTGAAAGGAGGAGATCCCAGCTCAACATACAGAACTTCGTAACGATGAGAGCTGGTGTGAGGTGTGAGGTCCTGGTCCCTGGACATAGAGTCTGGAAGACTTGGTGGGACGTGGTAGAGAAAATTAAAGGCAATGTCAACGTACAAAATCCTTTTTCTTAAGGCAAAATAAGTGGATCATCACCAGGTTGTATTAAAATAAAAGCAAGGAGGGCACCTGGGTGGCTCAGTCAGTTAAGGGTCCAACTCTTGAGTTCGGCTCATGTCATGATCTCAGGGTCGTGAGATCAAGCCCTGCTTCAGGCTTCGTACTGAGTATGGAGCCTGCTTAAGATTCTTTCTCTCCTTCTGCCTCTGTTTTCCCCCAACCCCCGTCCACTCACACACACGCTCTATCTCTCAAAAATAAATTAAATAAAATAAGATAAAAGCAACCCTTCCCAACTAGATTCCTATCACTCTGAAGAAATAACATTTCTCCTTTTCCTTTTAAAAAGATAGCTCAAGAGAATAATGTTGCCAGTTGTTGCTACTGCTGAAAATCAACAATAAATAGAAATAATAATAGCTAATGTACCAAGCATGTACCAAGCCCTGTATTTCCAGGCAGTATACAAAGTGCTTCATGGGCATTATTTGACTTCAATCTTCAACGGTGGTAGGCATTCTCGTAAGCCCCACTTTACGTATGAGGAAACTGAGGCACAGAGTTTAAGAAACAGGCCCTGTCTCTAAACCAATGCTCTCTACTGCGTCTCCTCATTAATAAATTAATCCATAGAAAGTGACTGCAGAGGTGCCTGCCTCATCGCAGGTGCTCAAGAAACAGGTGCCCTCTTCCCTTAACCAGATCTCCAAACCCAAGTTGGGTTACATGGCTGCACCCTTTGCTTTCTCTGTGGTGTGTGGGTGGTGACTGACCTTGTCATGCAGTTCCTTGGGTAAACTCGTGCTTTGGGTCCTTTCAAACTGCTCCATGAGGGCTCTCGTCCCCTGGTTGTCAGAGCCCGACAGCAGCCAGAAGATCCTCTCCATGTTGTAGGGCACCTAGGCAGGAAGGCAAGGTGCCAGGACCCCACGGACCTTAGCCCTTGTCCATCCCACCCAGTCAACACCTGGGCCAAGCACACACTTTCCCACAGGTCCTACCTGAATGTCCATAGCTGAAGCCAAGGTCAGTTCGACAGCCTTGGACAGAGAGAAGTCTCCCCGCTGCACGGTCCTGTGGATGATGTCATTGCGGTTCACAGCCACGACCAGGCGGATGGGCAGGCCCATCTTCTGAGCAAGGCACCCGGCTTAATACAGGAGAGGAGAGGACAAAAGCTTTCTCAGACATGATGCCCAAAGTACAAGAAATAAAAGGAAATTTAGATAAATTGGGTTTCATCAAAATTAAGAAACTTTGGTGCTCCTTGAAAATTTTGGTTTGTGCTTCAAAGGATACTATCAAGAAAATGAAAAGACAGCTCATGGAATGGGAAAGAATATTTTGCAGATCTTATATCTGATAAAGGACTGGCATACAGAATATGTAAATAACTCTTACAGCTCAACAATAAAAATGCGAATATGCTAATTTTAAAATGGGCAAAAGACCGAAACAAACATTTCTCCAGAAGATATACACATGGCCAATGAGAACATAAAAGATACTCAACATCAGGGAACTAGAAACCGAAGTCACAGGGACATACCATTGCATGTCCATTTGGATGGCTAGAATCAAAGTGCTGGAGGGGCTATGGAGAAATTAAAACCCACACGTTGCGTTGGGATGGGAATATCAAATGATGGGAATACAAAATGGTGCAGCTTCTTTGGAAATGTCTGACCATTCCTCAAAAAGTTATGACTTTTTTTTTTCTGTGACCCAGAAATTCTACTCCTAGGCATACATACTCTAGAGAAATGAAAATACAGGTCCACATGAAAACTTAGGCACCAACGTTTACAGCAGCATTGTTTATAATAGTTATGATACTGAAGCAATCCTAATGTCCAATAATGATAAATGGATAAACAGAGGTGGTGTTTGCGTACAATGGAGTATTATTCAGCCACAGAAAGGAACCAAGTACTGATTACAATGTTGATGAAACTTGAAAACGGTAAGTGAAAGAACCTAAAAAAGGTCACTTATTGTATGATTAAATTACTATAAAATGTCCGGAATAGCCAAATTGATAGAGACAAAATAGATCAGTGGTTGCCTAGAGCTGGGGAGATGTGGGGAAATGGGGAGTCACTGCTAGAGGGAACACGGTTTCTTTCCAACGTGACGGAAATGTTCTGAAACTGACTGTGGGGACGGTTGCACAAATCTGACATATACTAAAAACTATTCAGTTGTACACTTTAAACAGGTGAATTGTATAGTATGTGTGTGTATATATATGTATATATAAAATTATGAGTTATACTATATAACAATAAAGCTCACACACACACAGAAACAGAAAAGAAGAGGAGATGCCACTGTCCCGATACTCTTCTCCACCTCCATATGTCTCCCTGCCTCCCTTCCTCTCCGCCTCTCTCTCTCACATACATACACACCAGGCACACCTGCTCGCTCTCACTTGAGAAAATGAAGTTTCTGGGAAGTTGAAATGACCCACCCCAAGCCTGCTGGGTGGCACACGCGCTAGCTCCCGACTCAGCCTCCTAGCAGCGGCCCCTTTGGACACCCTGTTCCTCCAGCAGCCTCGGCCCACCCAGCCAGCAGCTCCTGTTTGCATGGAACAAACAAAGAATTCCTCACCCTGGGAGAGGGAAAGGTAGTCATTTAGGAAGGTTTTACCTACTTCCATGAATGGTTCCTCTCTGGTGGGTCGTTAAGAGGAGTTGGGGATCACCACCCCACCCCAACGTCACTCTGCCTTTTGCAAAAAGCACTTTCACGTTCTTATTTTCCACTTGATCTGCCTGTAAACATCACGCTCTCTGTGTATGGCGGAGGAGAAAGGGACGCTCACCAGGGCCCAGGGGTTTAAATTTCCACAGCCAGTTCCTGATGGAGCAGAGAGGGATGGGAGCACTCTCTGCAAACATCAGTTTCGTGCCAGCCACTGTGGTGGGCCCTGGGATGCATGCAGGTGGCACCATCCACGGGAGGCTGATGCAAATGGGGAGCTCAGTGGGCTTCCCCACCGTGGGTGGTGAAGACGGTCCCAACCCCGTGGGAGTACAAGAAGTCAGGAAGCCCCCGGACCACTGAGCTGCTTCTGCGGTCTCACAGAAGCCCTCCTTGGCGCCCATCAGAAGCAATGCCGCCTACAGAACCATCCGAAACGGTCATGCTGGCGAGGAGGCAGCCTCGGAAGTTCACAAGGGGACGTAGACTCTGGAGGAGTGGTCATCCTGGCTGTGTCCCCAACCGGAGTGTAAGCAGGGGTCAGCTGGCTAACTTCCCTGTGCCTCCACTTCCTCTTCATTAAGTGGAGACAGCAGTACCGTCCTCACAGATGCGTGTGAGCATTAAGTAAGTTGACCCGTGAAAAGCACGTGGAGGGGCACCTGATGCATAGGAAGTGCTGGAGACATGCTTATTCTTATTCTAGAAGGTGGTTTCATGGCCACGCAGAGGCACAGCGCAGCACCCTTGCAAAGCTCATGCCCACACGTGAAGGATCTTACTTGCACTTCAAGGGAGCCCTGAGAGATACGATAAGCTATCCAGTATTGCTTTTACAGCTGAGCGGCTGGGTCTAAGGGACTGCCCCCAGGGCCATTCTGCTGGGGTCAGACCTCCTTCCACCTCACGCGGTCTCTGGGTAGGGACTCTGGGGTGGGAACATGTTGTGCTGGCTGCCCTCACAGCAGGCCGCTGGCTGAGGCCAGGAACAAAGTCCGCCTCTCTGGAAGCAGGCCCTGGCAGGCCAGCAGAGCAGCTAAACCTTGACCGCATCTCTCCACACTCTCCTTAAGGGGGGTTATAGCCCGTCCTTCCCTCCTGCAGCGAGCAGCCGAGCTGTCCTCCCACGGAGTGATGGGGAGGTTTGCTGGGGGTTTCTCCTGTGTGGTTGCCTGTCACCTTCAGAGCGAGGACTTGAACTGTCTCCTCACAGTTGCAGCCGAAGGGCAGCTGGGAGGACGAGGGCTATGGGCATTTTTCTGGAAAGCCCATCTCTGCCCAGGGGCCTCCTTACCTGCAAGGTTACCGGCAGCCCCTGTTGGCACAACCACCTCCACGGGGGGCAGGGGGTGGGTGTCCAAGGATGGCGCGCACTGGAAATAAGCGAAGAAGTGGTGGGCCATTTGCACGAGGACCCGGGACCAGTTGATGGAATTCAGACTCATCAGATTGTGCTTCTTGACAAAAGCCACGTCAGCAAACACAGCCTTGATTGGCTCATCCAGCTCATCGCTGTTGCCCTCCACTGTCAGGAGAGAGAGGGGAGGGGAGCTATCAGGAGCACGGAGCACCCCCAGTCAGCACTTGTTTGCAAGCAGGCCCTCCCGCCCTGGGCACACCCAGCCGGGACCTTCACTCAGCTTTGGTTTCTGCTCTCCCATGTCGTGGCCTGGCTTTCTAGACTTGAAATTAAGCAACTCAAGGAAAGAAACCATGTCTTATATTCTTGAGGTCATACTTCCAACATTTCTACCATTACATAAAATTAGACATAAACCGTCAACCTTCTGGGATGTTGGGAAAAGGCCTCCTCCTTGGAGTCCGTGCCCGCTAGCCCCACTCTGTAGGAACAAGAAGAGATGGTTTCTGAGGCTATGGTGTGGCAAGAGGCCGATCTTTTCTTTACTCCTCGGTCCTTTACCAGGACTTGGGGGTACAGACTATCTGTTCTCATATGCTCTGCCCTTCTCTCAGTTAGATCAAAGAGAGGCATTCTGCTCTCTGCTCCCACGTGGTAGGTAAGCTGGCATGGACCTTTCCTCCCTGAGCTGGGTGTGGGCACAGTTTAATTTATGGATGAATTACTGGGTCAACTTACAGGTGAGCTGGCTACTAGTCCAACTTGCCCTCCTCAGTCCAGCCCAACTAGCCACCAAGCCAATATTGATCTCTTATCCGACATCTCCGTCTATTTCTCCACCAAACTTGATCCCAACTTGAAAGACAGAGGTAAGATTTATTGCAGGAAGTGCCAGAGTAAGTCCCAAGGTTGTTACTCATTCCACTTAGCACTGTTTATTGGCAATGAGGCTATGGGGCTGACCCCAGATCCAACACCAGCGGGATGTTTGCTGGGGTTCTAGGAAAAGATTCACTGTGCTTAAGATGGAGCCCCAGGAAGAGAGACTTAGTTACCTGAAGTAAGCATCATAAGCCATGAGGGAGATGAGCCTTAGGATTGGGAAGGCAGAGCAGAGAATGCAAATAACCTGGGTCTCTGCTGAGGGACGGCTAAGTCGCTGAACCGACTCTTCAGGAACCCATTCAGGGACTTACACAGCTATTCCAGTTATATAAGCTGGAAAATACTCTGTTCGAGTTGGTCAGAGTTAGATTTTCTGTCACCACCAGCCAAAAATATCCTAAATAATGTATAACTAGCACTTGCTCATTATTCTGTGCTTAAGAAGAACCAAATACAAAATATATATGGAAATTAATGTCTTTAAAAAACCTCAGTGTCCAACGCACAACAATTCAGGTGGCCCATCCCTACTCCCTGAGCTCCCTGGTCTAAGGGAAAAGACATATCCACTCTTAGCTCCGGAAAAAACACCCATCCTCCTAGAAACCAGGTCAGAAGATTCCAGAAAGGAAAGGAAGGACCTGAACAGGTCTATTTAGGAACAAAACTTAATATATGTAAAGTCCGCTGTCTTATTTTCTTGAAGCTCAGAACACGGATAAAACAGAAATGTCCCTTGGGCTCCAGCAAGAAAACATTTATGACATAGGGCACTCATGACCATCCACATTTCTCCTACTGTTTTGCAAATGGGCACTGTTCTCTGCTCCATGGTCAGTAACGGAGCTTACACACAAGTCCTCGTGTAAAAGCCTTCCAATACCTGGTATAAGGCAAGAAGGGAGTAGGTGGCAGGACTGATGTACAAAATGTTGTTCTCTGCTTCGATTCTAGGCAAAAATAGTCCTAGATCTATAACTAGCAATCGTAGTGCTTAGGGCGTAACAGGGACCCTCGGGAGCCCAGATATCACACATCCAAATTTTGTAATGAGTGCGGGAAAACACAGCCGAATATGGGGAACGACCAATGCTAAGGGACATGTAAGATTTTCCAACACCTGCATTAGCTAAACCCAGAACTTTTCACTGGAACGTGTAGGTGCTTATTAAAGAAAAGAGTAGAAGGGGCTTTGGGCTTACTTTTGAACTCATGGACAAAGGATCTTCATGCTACCCCCATGAGTAAGGTCTGTCTGCCCTATGCTTTTGCTCCTTGATGAAATCCGTGTTCTATGAAAAGCACCCTCTGAGGGGTCATACCAGGAGCCTGGGTGAGTTGTAGGAGGAATGCCTCCAGCCACCAACTGCTCTCCTGCTAAGTGAGTGACCAAGCCAGGCCAGGCCTCCCGGACAGCTTTCCCAGGGCCACAGTGTACAAAACCTCACCAAGACCCCCTACTCCTCATACCCCCATCCCTGCTTTGGGATTACCTAGGTTCTAGCTAGGTGTGAAAAGTGGAAATAAGCACGTATGGCTCCCCTCAAGCTCCCTCTGTCCTTCTAGAGTCTCGATTTCTACAGAACAGATGCCCAGTGGGTACTACTGAGTAGTTTCCCATACCTGCTAACCAAATGCCTGACTGAGTAGTTTCTAGACCATAACGGAGGGCATGAGCTGTTACCATGTAAGGGCACATTCTTTTAAAATTATTATTGGATGTTGGGGCGCCTGGGTGGCTCAGTGGATTAAAGCCTCTGCCTTCGGCTCAGGTCATGATCCCAGGTTCCTGGGATCGAGCCCCGCATCGGGCTCTCTGCTCGGCAGGGAGCCTGCTTCCTCCTCTCTCTCTCTCTGCCTGCCTCTCTGCCTACTTGTGATCTCTATCTGTCAAATAAAATAAAATAAAATCTTAAAAAAAAAATTATTATTGGATGTCTTTGTGTCCGCTGAAGTTCAGGGCCCTGGAACAAAACCCAAGTCACTTGGCTTGGGCTGTGGGTCTGGCGGCGGCCTGAATATATGGCACCAGTAGGGTGAACCCACACAGAAGTGGCGTTCTTTGGGGTTTGGTGTTCAACCGCCACTTCTTGGGTTATACCATCAGTAACGGTTTGTGCATTTGTCACCTCCAATAGCTTCTGAAACTGTGTTGCCAAGAGCTTGCCCAGAGCTAAGCCAAGGCATATACCAACATCATGACCGATGAAGGAAGCGAGGGGCAGAGAAAAGGCAGGAGGAAGGATGGTCAACTCATCAACTGGCCAGTTGTACTCCAGCCCATCTCCCAAAACAGACGCCCTTGAGGCGGCCACGCTTTCCCTGGAGCCTCCATCCCAGCTCTCACCTCCGAACACATGGACGTTCTCCCTCAGCACCGTGGTCATCTGGAGCTCTTGGATCTTCGTGCAGTGACCCTGGGGAAGCAGAACGATGATGTCCACGTTCTTTGCTCCTTGAACACTCTCAATGGCAGCACTGCCTGTGTCCCCAGATGTTCCTGGATAGGAAGAAAAAATAACCCTCCCCTGTACAACAAGGGCAATGGAAAAGGAAAGAAGGGTCGCTAAAGCAACCCCGCCACAGGAGGCAATGTTTACTTCAGATACCTGGAGAGCTGGAACCTCGTACTTAATCTGGGGTCCACTCACCTCCTAGAGACCAGGGGACAGAAACCAAGGCATCTGTGAACTGGGTACCATATAATCTTACATATTTGGGGTACTTAAAATATTATTCTGAGAAGGTTCCATAGCCTCCACCAGACTGACAAAGGGGTCCACGGCACAGGAGAGGGTGACAAACCCTGCTCTAGAAGAACCAGTCACACATGCTCCTCGAGCCATCCATGCGGAGCAAGCTATGGTAGACACTGGCACGTCAGGGTGCCTACGGGGCTCGGCCCTCGTGCCCACGATGCACACCTACAACCACGGTGACGTGCTTCTCCTTCTTCTCCAGAAAGTACTGCAGGAACTGTGCTGTGCAGCCCAGGGCCAAGTCCTTAAATGCGTATGTGACCCCATGCCACAACTCCAACACGTTCAGCCCGTTCCTCAGTCTGGACAGATGGACCACCTCTCTGTGACGGAATCTGTGGAAGGCTCGGTCGATCAGATCTGTGCGGGGAGAGAGGTGGAACAGCGGGAGAAGGCCTGAGCTCGGCCTCAGGTTCTCTGATTCTCCCCCGAACCCCACCCCGTCTCTCTATGCTTTGAAGGTCAAGTTTCTCTCTCCTGCTACCCAATACAAGACCGGAAACTTTTACCCCAAAGGAGACTATAGATGAATAGAATTACTGAATCCTAGGCAAAAGTCTGAAAAGACATGAACCACACTGTTTGCAGATTCCTGAGTGATGCCCCCCAGAGAAGAGAAATAGTCTAAGACTTCAATCTTTCACTTTATAAACATCATCATTTGGATGTCTTGTGGGCATGCACGCCAGCTAAGGTTCAATTCAACAACTGTGCAACAAACGGATCCATGTCTCATCTCTCCTAATGTTCCTTCCTAAAGACTAGACGTTGTTTGTTTGTGCTGCACTAAATTTCACACCTGTGATACCAGAGACTGGGGTTGGTTTACCTATAATCCTGCCTAAGGCAGGTCTATCTTGGGTAGTGCTTCTCAAACTTTAACTGACAAACCAATCACCTGGGACCTTAAAATGCAGATCCTGGTTCAGAAGGTCTAAGGAAGGCAGAGAATTCTAATAAGAGCTTGGGCAATGCCAACAGTGCCATCAGACCACATTCCTGAGTGGTCCTCTTCTTCCAGCCCTGAACACTCACCACCACATTGTGGATTCGTTCCCACGTCTGGTCCATGGACCAGCAGCACTAGTATTATCACTAGCAGCGATATCACTAGCAGCATTACCACCAGCAGCACTAGTATTATAGTATTATTGGTCGGAATGCAGAGTCTCAGGCCCACCCCAGACCTACTGAATCAGAATCTTCATTTTAACAGGATCCCCAGGGAAATCGATGGGCACATTCCAGCTTGAGAGGAGTTGGTCCAGGACACTCTCCAAGTCCCTTCTGGAATTACCATTCAAGGAAACAGAACAGTCATCTGGGTCCACGTGCTTTATATACAAGTAGGAAACAGCCCAACATTCAAGCATCTCAGGATGTTGGTGAAGTCTCTAAGCCTTAAAGAGGTTTTTGAAAAATAAACTAAAGGAAAACATTCTCTGCAGATCACCATGGCATTCATCTCATTGGAGAGGGACGGTGGAATGGATAAATTCTCTGAGAATATTGCCATTTCTGGGATCCTAGAATCTGGGAAAAAAAACTCCAACGTTTGGGAAATAGGACTAGAAACTTCCTAGGGGTTAAGGGATGGATTCGCAGCTCTGGTGGGGGCAGGACTGGCAGGGGAATGAGGTGGGAGAGTAGGGAGGCTGGGGATGCTCACCGTTTAAGACATCTCGTGGAATGAGCTCAGGACCAATGAAGAGGGTGCACAGCTCCTTTACCAGACTGGGGTAGGAGAGCGAACTCCACTGACGCAGGGTCTCTATGCCCAACTGTGGGAGCTCCTTGGGCATGAAGAGACCGCCATCGGGAGCATAGCCAGAGAAGAGGGCCCCCTCAAAGTCGACCCGTGGGGCCATTCCCCTAGTGCTGACGTACCACATGATCCTGTTGGCCTGCAGAGGGAACAGTCCCAGAGGCACCTGATCTCCAAGCTCAGTACCCCACAGGAAAAAAGCTGAAGTGTACACACACCCTCAGCTACCCCTTGGACCACCACTCATGGGGGTAAGCATCCCAGCCTGAGAGACTGGAACCCTGTCTAGTCTCAAGCCAACTTCCTCTGGGACAGTCCAAATCGTGACCTCTCCAGTCAAAATGAGGCCAATTCACTGACCTTGGGAGAGGGGTTGCCAAGTCATGTCAGGAAAGGGGAAAGTTTGGTCCTCACTGTGGAGGAATAAGGGAACTGGGAAAAGATCATAGCAATAAAGCAAGTGCCATTTCGATAGCCCTCTTGTTAGAGGACCACCACAGTTGGTCAGGCACCCTTTTGAGAGATAACTGGGTCCACGTCTGTTCAAAAAGTAACCACTTTTGATGGTTATACAGCAATGTTGCCTATCACCTAGTGGTTCCTCACTCTGGTTGTTTGTTAGAATTAACTTGGGAGCTTTTTTTTTTTTTTTTTAAGATTTTATTTATTTGACAGAGATCACAAGTAGGCAGAGGCAGGCAGAGAGAGAGGGAAGCAGGCTCCCTGCTGAGTAGAGAGCCCGATGCGGGACTTGATCCCAGGACCCGGGACCATGACCTGAGCCGAAGGCAGGTACTTTAACCCACTGAGCCACCCAGGCGCCCCAGCTTGGGAGCTTTAAAGAAAGTGTTCCTATCTGGGACCCTCCCTGGATCAATGAGATTAGAACCTCTATGTGAGAGGCTCCATTGGTGATGTTACTGTGCAGTGAGGGTTAAGAAGACAGTAACCAACTTGTCCCACTCTTCTCAGGACCTTCCCAGTTTTAGAACTGAAAGTAGCATGTCCCAAGAAAACCCATCAATGCCAAACAAACTAGAATGGTTTGGTCATATTAGTTGAGAACCAGTGCCCTACCTCTCCGCCTAATCCTAGAATCATTAGAAGCGCAGGCAAGCTACCCTTAAGACAGTCTAGCCAAGGCTAACTGGTCCTGTGTGGGCTCAGGACTCTGACTGGGGTTGTGGGAAGGGGAACGTCCAAGGGCGCCCAAGGCCTAACTCTGGTCCCAGTGCCCCCTCAGTTAGGGTCCGAGGAGCCAGGTGCCAGGTCCAGGAGCTGAGCTTAAGCTCTGAATACCTTTCTCTGGCCCCTGGAGGTGATTCCAGGAGCTCTGGTTTTAAAGCCCCAAGGCCAGGAAACATTTCAGGAAGGGCTAGCAGGTAAAGAAATTTTCTGACAAAAAGTGGGGCAGGGCAGGAGGGCCTGAGCAACTGGCCACTGATCGCACACAGATCCCGTCGGGGCGGAGGCCCCCCAGCGGTCTCAAGTAGGCCCCGGCTTAAGGTCCCTGGGCACCAGTCCTCCCGCTAACCAGGCCCTGGGTCAGGGAAGGAAGTTTTGATAAGGCCCGCAGGATAAGGCACGCTCCCGGCCTCTGAAAACACGTTGGACTTCTCAGTTTCGGCTTCCGGGTACTGCAGAAATCCTACAGACCGCGCAAAGCCTCGGAAACCCTGGACCCGCCCTGGTTCCTCCGAGCGTGGGCAGAGCGCGGCCGCTAAGAGGTTAGAAGGGGCGGCGAGGCGGACAAGCCGCGCGGTAAAGTCAACCGCGAGTTCAAGAGCGCAGATAAGCCGCCACCGAGGACCACCCCCCCCCCCGCCTCCGCCCCCGCCCCCGCCCCCGCCCGGCCACCGCGATCGCCGGAAGCCGACGGGGGCAGTGGCCCCGCCGCCGGCCTGTGTGAGGGGAGCTTGGCCGCCGAGACGCAGGCTCCGTGGGGCTCCTCCCCTCCCCTCCCCTGCCTTCCCCTCCTCCAAGCCCGGGGATCGGGCGGCCGGGGCGCGAGGAGCCGGAGGGGCTGCCGGGACCGGGGTTTGGGGGGACGATTACCTGGTCCGCCGCGCAGGCGGCTGCGGGGGGCGGCCCCGGAAGCGGCTGGCGGGGCCCAGGCGGGGCCCAGGCGGGGCGGAGCGCGCTGGCCTCCGCGGCTGGGTCGGGCTTCCGCCGGGAGAGGGACAGGGACCGCGGGGCGGTGAGGCTGAGTGCGCGGGGGCGGCGGCGCGGGAAGAGGTGCCAGCGGGAGCGCAGCCCTTCACCCCTCACTCGGCACGGGTGTGTGTGTTTTAAGTTGGCACGGTTTAAGGCACCTCGCTAATCACTGACGTTCGGTCTCTTCACCTTCACTGCAGTCCTGGAACCTTATTTTTCCGATTAGAAAACAGGACAAGATGGAGGGAAGAACCCCTTCTTTGGGCTTCATGCTTCTCACCTGTAAAATCAGACTTCTGGACGAACTCCTTGTTCCTCAGACCCTAGGGCTAGTACATCCTGAATTCGGAATCCACGAGGATACCGGGCATTGTTTAAGCCCTGACAGTTCTTCGTAGGAAAACACTTCTTAATGAAGTACAGATCTATTCTAGAGTAAAAATCCTCCCTTCTTTCTTTCTTTCTTTCTTTCTTTCTTTCTTTCTTTCTCTTTCTTTCTTTCTTTTTATTTATTTATTTATTTATTTTTAAAGAAGCAAGACACTTGGGAAAAATGTCCTCTGGACACGGCAAATGCCTCTGGATTCACATTCATCCTCCTGGGTCCCAACTCCCTTAGGAGGCAAAATTTGAAGAGCTAAACTGGTGTCAGCTAAGGTTTGGTTCGTGCCTCTCTACTGGACCCGGTCCCTGTAGTGGACCCAACTGGGACTCACCGGGGCAGAGGACGCAGATGACTGCCCTCTCTTCCTCCCATTTATGACATTCTCCTAAACCTGTGGTCTCTGCTTATTGAAGTCACCTCTTTCCAGACCTCAGCCTGCATGTGCTCATTGGACATAGGCACCCAAGCCCACATACCTGCTACTGACTGACTCCAGTCTGGATGGCCCTCAGATTCCAGAAAGAGAGTCTGACTGTTCAGCTGATGTACTTTTGTCGTGGAGTTCAGCCAGAAGCCAGGGAGCCATTCTTAGCGGTCCAGGCCAGGCAGGACCTCCCAAAGGGTATCTGTTCCTTGTATCAGGTAAACTTTATCACTCAAAGGCCAGGGAGCCTAAGGCACCTGGAAAAAATGCCCTAAGATGCAGCCATATATGTTCCAATGCTCATCACCAACCAGGATGGAGTCTCAAAAACCCCAGAAGAAGGCTGCCTGGGTGGCTCAGTGGGTTAAGCCTCTGCCTTCAGCTCAGGTCATGATCTCCCTCCTCCCTCTCTCTCTCTCTTTCTGCTTGCCTCTCTACCTACTTGTGATCTCTCTCTGTCAAATAAATAAAATCTTAAAAAAAAAAAAAACCAGAAGGACAAAAGTACCTTCCACAGAGTTCTTCCCTCAGGCCCCTCGCCAGACTTACAGAGGTCTCAGGAGTTCATTATTCTGTAAGCAGAAGGGAAGGCCAGAAGTTTTTGTACACCGTCTGACTCCCTCAGAAAGGGGAGGAGCAAAAGGCTTGGGGAAGAAGAGGTTTAATTTACTAGGAATCCCTGCCCAGGACATTCAGAACAATGCAGCTCTGGAAAAGAAAAACTTCTGCATGGCCTACGAGAAGGAGGACAGAATTCGAAGTGCTGAACAGGATAGTAGCAATGTGGAATTCCCTGAGACTTTTACACAGGACCGACGTTGAGTTTTTATAAGATTAAAAATTGATTTTATGTACTTATTTTGCTTTTTGACCTTACGGATTAGAGTGCTTAGCTGTCTGCGGCTTTGAAGCCAACACAGACGGTTGACTACGGTCTCCCTGAGGTGGGATGTAGGAGCTAGGGGCCAGAGCCCTCTTTAAAGGTTAGAGAGCACACAGGAGCCAGGCTACCAGAGGGGCACGTGACCTGCCGGAAGCCCGCCCGCCATTTGTGCAGGCCATAGGCCAGCACTCAGTCTTTTTCTGGAGTTCTGGTGGGGCAAGGGCAGCAAGGCAAAGGGGAGAAAAGAGGGCATTCAGAAACAGGACACGCCTGGTCTCTCAGAGCATTTTGACTTCCTAAACTGATAATCCATTGTTTTACTTAATGTGTCTGGTGGTTGAGGAGATGGGGTGGTTAGTATTTATGCTCACATACTCTCAGTTACCTTCATTACTCCGAGTTCCTGACTCTGGAACAAGGGGTTCAAATAAATAGTCTCAAATTATCAAGAAAAAACTTGACTAGCATCATCCCAACTTTTTTTTTTTTTTTTTCCAGAAACAGACAAGTGGATCCTAAAACTTACATGGAAATGCAAGGGACTCAGAATAACTAAAACAATCTTGACAGGAAATTACAAAGTAGAAGACTTACACTTCCTGAGTTTAAAACCTAGCTCAAGGCTGTAATAGTCACGACAGTGTAGAACTGACATCCGAATAGACATACAGATCCATGGAAGAGAACTGATAGTCTAGAAATAAACCCATGCACGTACTGTCAACTGATTTTTACAAAGGTACCAAGACTCTTCCATGGAGAAAGAAGAGACCCTAAGCAAATGATGATGGGATAATTAGGCATCTACATGCAAATGAGTGACTTTGGACCCCTACCTCATACCATATGCAAAATTTATCAAAATGGACAAAGATGTAAGTGTAAGAACTAAAAAAATAAAACTCTTAGAAGAAAACAATGGAAATCTTCATGACCTTGGATTAGGAAATGGTTTCTTAGACATGGCCCCCAAATCAAATGCAACAAAAGAAAAAAAGAGAGAAATTGGGCTTCATAAAAAATTAAAGCTTTGGGGCACCTGGGTGACTCAGTCGGTTAAGTGTCTGCCCTCGGCTCAGGTCATGACCCCAGGGTCCTGGGATCGAGCTATGCATCGGGCTCCCTGCTCAGCAGGAAGCCTGTGTCTCCCTCTCCCACCCTCCCCCTGCTTGTGTTCCCTCTCTCACTGTGTGTCTCTCTCTGTCAAATAAATAAATAAAAATCTTAAAAAAAAAAATTAAAGCTTTTGTGCATCAGGGGAAACTATTAAACAAGTGAAAAGACAATCTATAGAATAAGAGAACATTGGGGCACCTGGGTGGCTAAGCATCTAACTCTTGGTTTTGGCTCAGGTCTTGAGCTCAGGGTTGTGGGATCGAGGCCCATATGGGCTTGGCGTGGAGTTTGCTTGAGATTCCTTCCCTCCTCCTCTCCCTCCCCCTCTGGGTCTCCCCCTGCTCATGCTGCATGCATATTCTCTCTCTCTCTCTAACATAAATAAATAAATAAATAAATAAATAAATAAATAAATAAATAAAACCTTCTAAAAAAAAGAATAGAACAGATTTGTAAATCATAAATCTGATCAGAGTCAAGTATCCAGAACATGTAAGAACCTCCTACCACTCAATAATAAAAAGATAACGTAATTTTAAAATGGGCGAAGGACTTAAAGAGACATCTCTCCACAGAAGAGCTATGAATGGCCAGCAAGCCCATAAAAAGATGCTCAACATCATCAGTCATTAGGGAAAGG